AAGGAAGGAAGGAAGGAAGGAAGGAAGGAAGGAAGGAAGGAAGGAAGGAGCTGGGTCAGAACACCTCCCCGTTGAATCTCTCCCGGCCTACCTTTCAAAATAACCTCGGTTAGGGAGTCCCGCGTGGTGGTCCCCACCGCCGTCAACAGATTGATGGACTGGTCCGTCATGTGATTACAGTAGCTGAGATTTAGCTTGGACAGGAGAGGCATATGCCGGATAATCAGGCGCAGAGAAGCGTCCGTGATGTCCAAGCCGGACAGGCGGAGATCGGTGATGTTCCGTAGCTTGCTTCGGTTGTCGATCTGGCCTGCGCAAGGAACAAAAGGCAGCAGAAGTCTTGCTGTTATTTCATTTACAGAGGCTGCGATTCAACAGGTTCACCCAGGCCTGGAGATGGTCAAATGAGATATCCTTTCTATATAAAAATATCACGCAGGAGAAGACAATTTTGTTCACAACTTACCCCATCGGTTGACATGGGTGGATAGTTCCTCCAATGTTTTTCGTTTTAAGAGGAGTGGGCTTCAATTCCCAGAATTCCTCAGCCCTCAGGGGGGGAATTCTGGGTATTGAAGCCCACCCCTCTTAAAATGGCCAACTTTGAAAACCACTGTTCTAGCCCATCCTTTTTAACTTGTAGCCTAGCCTTCTCTGAATAGGATAATATATATACTTTAAAAAACAACAACAAATAATTCCCTCAACACTGTCCAACTATTGACAAAGTCTGCACTACTATTACTATTAAATCATCTCATCACTCCTTATCGTCCATCCCCTCCCACTTGTGACCGTAGGACTGTAACTTCGTCGCTTGTATCCTTATTATTTATATTGACTGTTTCCTAGTATGATTTGATTGTTTATTTGTACCCTATGACTATTATTAAGTGTTGTACCTGATGATTCCTGATTCTTGACGAAAGTGTCTTTTCTTTTATGCACAACTGAGAGCATTTGCACCAAATTCCTTGTGTGTCCAATCACACTTGGCCAATAAAAGAATTCCTCTTCTAAAAAACAAATCTCATACCACACCCACAATTCTACTCTGCCCCATTCTTGAGGCCACCGTAAATGAGAAACCTAGTCGTTTTATACTCTGGTTTCTCTCCTGAAAAGAGATACCCAAGTCTTGTCTGCTGGAGTCCAAAATTGGGGGTACATACCTGGCCGGTTGTCAGTTGGTGGGGACAGAAGGTCTCGCATCTGGGCATCCTTCAGGCCTTCCACCCACTGGCTGTCCAGGGTTCGAAGAAGGGGACAACTGGAGCTGCAAAGTGCGGACACGGCGATCCACGAGCAGCCAGCCAAAAGCAGATCCCGGAGACCTACGGGGAAGGAAGGATGTAACCCTCAAAAGTGGTCCTAACTTCAAGAGAATCTTTCCTTCCTTCCTTCTCTCCACTGCTCCGTCTAAGGCAGGACGTCGGGGTTCCAGTTAACACACCCCAATGGAATCGAAACTCCAAGGCAGGCCTATTCCTCAAAGTACAGATTTACTAGCTCGATACCTATGCTTTGCTACGAAACTATGTGGTGGGGGCTTAGTTTTTGGGGGAGGAAAATAAGTGGAAAAAATTCTGCCTCTGCCTACCAGCATCTATTCATATTCATCTGGCTAGCGTCCTGTCAGTGTGTGAGAGAATTGAGGGCTGTTTGGAAACTGAAAGAGCATTTGCTGTGTGAGCAAGAAGGAGACAGCAAGGAGCCTGGGCGTGGCTTAGCTCAACTGTTCTGTACTAAAGCTGCTTGGTGCTCTGTAACTAAAACTGAAACTCCTCTGCTTGTGTTTTGCCTTTGGAAGAGATTTCTTTCTAGGTGGGGCGGGGAAGTAGAACTCCTTAGCATCAGAGTAAGATAATAATAAAATAATAATAATAATAATAATAATAATAATAATAATAATAATAATATAATAATAATAATAATAATAATAATAATAATAATAATAATAATAATATAGGAAATACTAATGCTCTGATGGTCATTTTGAAAAATCCTTTCTTTGTGAGCCCCTAGAAGCCAAGAGGAACCTACGTGCCAGATTTCAAGTTTGTAAGCTTTACGGTTCTGGAGATTTTCTGCCGATGCATGAGTGATATTTCGCTTATATTATGTATACTGACTAGCATGACCTATTGGCACATCTGGGGAAACCTGACTCTAACCCCACCCTCCAAGTTCCCCCCCCCAATTAAAAGTAAAGTTTTCTTCCCCCTCCCCATGCCCTCCATCACGTGGTCCAATCAGGTCACAGCCCAAGGTCAGCTGGTCCCAGGTCCCACCTCCTGTAGCACCTGGTGGGAAAGTCCTTGGTTCCCAGCGGGAAGAGTTTTGTTTTGGCTACAACCCCAAAGGCAAGCTCCGCCTTTCCCCCCGTTGCTGCTTCCCACAGCTCGACTCATCTCCGCTGCGGCAGCCCCGAAGGTGCCGGTGGTGGGAAATGAGTTCAGGATTGACACAGGAATTGCTAAGGTGCGAACCTACCTGGGAGCCGGGTAATAAGCCAGCTCAGCTGCTTTTTGGAGATATTTGTCCAGCTGAGATCTAACGTGACCGGCTGCCTTCTGATGATACCGCTCAGCATCAAGGGAGTGATGGATTTGCAATGGTTGAGGTCTATTTTGGTCCACAGCCTTTTATCACAGCACCTGAAGGAGAGCAGAGGAGAGGCAGGTCTGGCCCACATCTTGGAAAGAAATACAAGGCTTGAAATACCTCGGCTTACAACCGCAATGGAGTCCAACCTTTCTATTGTGAAGTGAGGTTTAAGTCAGTTTTGCTCTGTTTTAAGACTTTCCTTGCCTCGGTTGCAAAGCGAATCACTGCAGCTGACCAGTTAATAACCTGATTGTTAAGGGAATCCGCCTTCCCCATTGGCTTTGCTTGTCAGAAGGTGTTGTGGTTAGCCGGCAGCAGGTGTGGACGGCTGAGGAGAGCGAGGACTCAGACGAGGGGCCAGGACCATCAGGGAGTGGACTGCTGCCTTCCGAGATTGTGGGGGCTGGCAGTAGCAATGAGGAGGTTCCTGAGGAGCCTGTGCCAAGTGCACGCAGGGTTGCTCAGAGGAAAGAGCAGTTACAACAGCACAGGCAACTCAGGAGTAAGTCTGCAAGGTAATGGCCCCTCCTTCAAGAAAATAAAAGCCAGCTGTGAATCGGATGTTCCTTGCAGAAAGCAAAGACGTTTTGAAACTCGAGCCTCGTGGACATTGCAGTATCCGAAGTTGGTATTTGAAGTCTCTTGTGTTGTAAAATATCTCTAGGTAACCTTATCTGTTATTCTTGGCAGCCTCGCAGTTTAACCAGGGATTTGTAAAAATTATTAAAAGGTTTCTATTCCCTTTGGTTCGTGTTTCTTTTATTGGAAAAGGGTTTGGGTCAGAACAGAAGGTTGCAAAAGGGGAAATCACGTCACCCTGCAACATTTCAACCGTCATAAACAGGAGCCAGTTGCCAAGCCTCTGAATGTCGAGGTTGTAACTGTATTTTACGGCACCAAAAATAATCTTCTCTTTCTTTTTACTTTAGACTCTTCTCCCTTTTTCCTTTCTCGCTTTCATTTGTATTTTATATGACCATAAATGCTAATAAAAGCCAAAAAAAAAGAGGACAACGCAAGGTTTTCCAAGCCCCGCTGAAGTCTCGCCTCTCTTTACCCTGATCAGAGTCACAACCGTTGCAATCCTGGCCGCCAGATACCAAGGGCCCCCTGACACCCCAGTTCCAGCCTGCCCCCCCATCCCTAATAGCTGCCCCCTCTTCCCCCACGATCCCACCGCTACTCCTTACCACCGATTCCAGGTCCGGCACACTCTCATGCAGACGCAGAGTTCCCCGGGTCGGAGGCAGTTGAAGACCGCCATCCACACCTCCCTTTGCATGACGTGGGCCCCTCCGTCATCCAGCAGGAGCGAGTCGGGCGGGGGGCTGATGGGGGGCGGCCGCACCACGTGCCGCTCCATCTGCATGCACTTGGGGGGCGAGAGGGAAGGCGGGGGCCGGGCGATGGCCCTGGGCGTGGGAGTGGTGGCGCCGCCACCGCTGCGGAGGCTGGAGAGGATCTGGTGGCGGAGTTCCCGCGGCGTCCCGTTGAAGCCCTTGGCAAGAGGGTGCGGCTGCTCCGGGCCGAGGTGGTGCTTGTCCTCCTCGGTCTCGCTCTCCGGCTCCGACTTGATGGGCTGGTGGTTCTCGTTGGCCAGGCTGTTCTCGGTCTTCTGGATCTCCTGGTTGAGCTCCTTGCTCAACTCCTTGCTCAACTCCTTGTTGGGCAGCCGAGGTTTCCGACGGATCTTGAACTTCTTCTTCTCCCGGGGCTCGGCGCCTTCCGAACTCGGCCCCGCGGTGGGCGAGCTCGAGCGCGACTGGTCGCTCTCCTTGGTTTTGGGAGCTTCCTCCGGGAAGGCCTCCCCGCCTTCTTGCTTGAAGCGCCTCAGGGGTTTGATGGCGGCCACTCGGTCGTCGGGGGTCTTCCAGGAGCGCCTCTGGAAAGGGGAAAGGGACCCCAAGGTCGAAGGAGAATCGATCAACCGTGGTGCGAAACCCAACGTGGGAAGGCTGGGGAATTCTGGGAGTTGAAGCCCACCCCTCTTGAAGTTCCCACGGTTGAGGAACGCTTCCACATACGTAGTCCTTGACTTAGGGCCACAATGGAGCCCCCCAAAATTTTTTGTTGCTAAGCGAAACATTAAGAGAGCTTCACCCCATTTTATCAACTTTCTTGCCACAGTCGTTAAGTGAATCGCTGCCGATGGTCAGTTAATAATACGGCTGTTCAGCAAGTCTGCAAATCCATACAGATGAAGAACTTACCTTTTTCCTGAACAGCTTCTCTTCTTTCCCCAGTTTTAGCTACGGTCAGGGAAGAAAAGGAAGGAAAAGGGAGGAAAAATGACAATTTTATTTATTGGAAGTTGCTCTTCCCAGGCCGCCTGGGGCAAATTCTGGGAATTAAAAGTTTGCAAGGCTTAAAGATCCAGAGATTTCAAAACACTACCCTAGATGGCTGGTTAGTTTAGAAGCAGGCAATTTAGACCTCTCCCACCTCCGGTCCCTTCCAGGTGTGCTAGAATTGGTGGCGGGTGAAAGGCACAGGGAATGCTTGGGGTAAAGTGAAAGTAACAGAAGCAAGCTTGTTTCCCGAGAGACTGTGATTCAAGGTCACTTCCGGGTAAGAATGCAGCCCCAGCGCAGCTTCCTCTCAAGAGTGACCATTTCAAAAAAACATTGTCTCTAAAATTGATGGGACAACGGGGGAACCTATTGCTGGGGGAGATTTAGCGCGCAAATTTCAGTTCTGGCTTTGCTTTACCGTATTCCACTTGACCTTTACTAAACTATACCTTTCTCAACACAAGGAATTTTTACATTCGTCCATCTCTGCAAATGTGGATTTGTACCAGGTTGGAGGAAATGGTCCGATCGCGGCTTATAGGGAAGGGCAGGACAGTGACCTTTCTTACTGGGGGTGGGGGGTGGGTGTTTTCCCAGCTCCTGACCCCCCCCCCCCTTTGTCGTGTGCTCCTTCTACAGTGGCACCTTCTCCGGCCTGTTCACCCCAAACACCCAAGGGGGAACACGATCTCCCGGTCTTACCCGCTTCCTCAACGCCGGTTCTTGGGGTTTATCCAATTTCCGCTTGCGGCGCAGGTGGGCTTCCTCCGAGGACTTCCTCCTCAAGAGAGGATCCAGGGGGGGCTTCGGGGAGCGCTCGTCGGATTTCTTGCGAGGCGATTCCTCGCACTCGACTTTCCTCTTGGGGATCTCGGGGACGACTTCCTTGTTCTCGCGGTTGATCTTCTGCTCTTTGAGCAAAGAGCCGGGCAGGTTGGAGGCGTATTTGAACCCAGGGCCCCGCTTTTGCTTGTACGCCAGAAAGAGACAAAACACACAAGCAAACTTTATATCTTATGCCTTTTTTTTCCCCCTCTCCCAGAAAGGGCTAATTCTCTAAATTGGGGGGCACCCTCTGGGTGTATCCTAATTCATATTCTCCAATGGGACACCTCCATAGCTAAGAGTCATCCATCACGTTCTCCAGTTAGACTTTCGCGCTGCAGAAACTTCAGTCCCCTAGTTACAATCTCTGAAAAACTATGTAGGGAATGCACTTTCGGTTTCCAAGCTGCCACACTGCTCTTTCAAACCCCTCCCTTTCTGTTGGCAACTCTAAACCACCCATAAAAAATGTTTTATGAGCTGACACATACATTACAGGAGGGAAACTTGAAAATCTACTGGCCAAGGAGGGACCCACAAATTAGTTCAGCTGAGCTTTGTTGGAAACAAAACAGAATGGAAATAGTTTTGGGATCTCAAAAGAAAGGATGTGTGTGTGAGAGGTTATTGCTTTTAAGTCTTTTTATATAGGTAGTCCTCAACATACGGCTATAATTGAGCCTAAACTTTCCATGGCTAACCGAGACATTTGTTTAAGTGAGTTTTGCCCGATTTTGCTACCTTTCTTGCCGCTGTCCTTAAGCGAATAGCTGTGTTTGTTAACTTAGCAATACGGTCATTAAATGAATCTGGCTTCCGCACTGACTTTGCATGTCCCAAAAGGGGGTCATGTGACCCTGGGAAACACTGCAACCGTCGTAAATATGAGTCGGTTGCCAATTGTGAATTTTGACCACGTGATGCCGAGTAGGTGTGTGAAAAAAACGTTCAAAAGTCACTTTTTTCAGTGCCGTTGTAACTTTGGTCACTAAAGAAACTGTTGTCCTTTAATGCCTCCTTGGCCCCACTGTTCAATAATTCTCAGTTGGAGATAAAACTTATTCAAAAACAGTCTTCAAGAGAAAACAATATAGTCAGAACTCAAAGACCAGATAAAGGTGAAATAAAAAACCAAAACAAACTACAGTGAAGGAATTTCCACAACGGACCAAGATAAATAATTATCAGCTTCAAGGAGATAAGGCACAGTCTGTTGGAAGGACGCCAACCAAGATAACTTCAGCTCAAACTAAAACACGCTTTGCTGTGTTGTAACTGTCTCTCTTATATACTATTCTCCCCAGCTGCAACCAAATGAGAGGGATCATGGCCACTTCCTCTCTCGTAAGCCAAGTTGTTTCCTTCTCCATTCCTCCCTGCGTGTCGTAGGATGCAGAGGGGATGAGCCTGGTTCTTCCTCTCACAGCCCAGCCGGCCTCTGCCCTTCCCCAGCCTCCCCCACAACCTAAAAATGACCCCCCACCCCGCTGTTCCAGACAACCCAATCATGGCTGTGAAACTCACTTTCCCCGTTTTTCCAGCATGGTTGCACTTGGGACATTCCCAACAATTTGGAAGCTCCTCGTTCACCACGCCGTCCGATTCCCGCACCTGAGAGAGAGGGAGAGAGAGAAAGAAAGAAAAAGAGAGGGAGGGAGAGAAAAAAGGAGAGAAAGAGGGAGACAGACAGGTAGAGGAAGAGAAAAACTGCTGAGCTCCTCCAGGAAGGGATGGTGAGATCTGCCCCTTTTTATCTATTCCTCTTCTATCCATTCATCCCGTTTACAAACTTCCCATCTCCCTCCCAGATAAATCAATTACAGGTAGTCCTTGACTTACAACCGTGGGGAGAAAGGCGGTAAAATGGGACGACGCTCGGTTAACACACGTCGTGCTTAGCGACAGAAACCTTGGCCTTGATTGTGGTCATAAGTCAAGGACTCCCTTGAATAAGACCCAGCAGTTTCCTCTCCTTACCTTAAGGCACCCGGGGTGGATGATTTCGTTGCAAATGGAGCATTCCATAAGCATCAGATTAAATTTGCTCTCTTCTTCCTCCACCGTGTCTTCCTTCCCTGCTTCGCCACACACCAAGCACACTGCGGTGTGGGGCAGCACCGGCTACGAGGGCAGGAAAGAAAGGACAGATCAGAGGATCGGAAATGGGAGCAAGAGCGATCGGAGCACACCAGGAATGCCTCTTCCTGGAGCAAGCTTGGCAACTTGATGATCTGTGGACTTCAACTCCCAGAATTCCTCATTTCCAGCCGTGCTCAGCCAGTCCACAAACCATCATGGCTGGCTGAGGAATTCTGGGAGTCGAAGTCCACAAGTCGTGAAGTTGCCCAGCCTGTTACTCCCCTGGCCTGGAGGCGATCCCGGTTTTCCCACCCCGGCGAACATCGATGGCGCTTACCGCGATGCACTGCCTCATAATGCAGGACTGTTTCATGCGGCCAGGCCCCCCAAACTTCTTCATGTCCTTGCAGAAATGACATTCGCCGCACTCTGTCCGCAGGCAGGCCTCGCACTTGCGACATCGCGTCCTTCTCCGACGTGCGCCTGCAGTCGTCCGGTTCGCCGCAAGCTTCACAGCCGAGGAAGGGCCCAATTTCCCCTTTGGACGCCCAACTGCCCGGTTCTGGGAAAGGAAGAGAGAGGGTGGGGTTTTTAAAGGCTGACCACCTACTATACCACTGGCTCTTGTGAAGCCGCTCCCGTTGTGGGTCGATTACCCTTGTAGGGAACGAAGCAGACGTTACGGCTTAGGATAAACTTTGGTTACCAGTTCCTCTTTCTGCAGACCTAAAGTGACAACTCTTCTGAGTTGGAATGGTACGGTAAACCACAAAACGCGATTAAAGAGATGTAGGCGACAGAGGCCGGTCAGTAATAAGAGGTTTCCGGCTTCGCCGTTGTACAAACCCAGCCAGATGGACCCTGGTTTAACACCAGGGAAGACGCAGCGGGAGTAGCCGTAAAGAATCCGTGGTGAGTCAACTTGGAAAGTATTAACACACAAGGAAAGATTAAAAACACCTCACAAATTGGTTGTAACAAGAGAAAGCCTGTTAATGGTTAACACATCAGGCTAGAAACTAGGAGATGGGACGTTCTAGTTCCACCTTAGCCATGAAAGCTGGCTTGATTATTTTGGGCGAATCTCCAGGTGACGATGAGTTCTAGTCTTGCCTTAGGGGTGAAAGTGACTTTGAGTCAGCTCTCTCCTCCCACAGGATTGTTGTTGTGAGGAAAATAGGAGGAGAAAGGAGTATTGGGTTCGTTCGCTGCCGTATAAAAACGTTCCTGTGCTAGAAATGATTCCTCGAATTAGCCATGATGGGCTTCCTTCACATAATATGCAAAGCCATCCACAGTTGGTTGTGGTTTGCGTTCAAGAGTTTATGCTTTGCATTGCAGTTTATTCCATCTGTGAGAATTGGACAAACCACATTATGTGTGAATGCATCCCTAAACTCCAAAATTAACCAATAAACATATATAATTATTATAAATATAGAAACGATGTGTACATTTGATTTATTGTGTTCCATTTGGAGTTAAGTGTTTGCTGGTGCCAGCCAAGTCATAGTGATGGACCTCAGTGAGATGTAACACACACCAGCAAACTTCCACTCCCGTAAAATCTTTTGTTTTCAGCAGGTTGAGAATTTTTATAACCCTTTCTAAAAAAAACGAATATTTAGTTTTGCTATCTGTTTTTTTTTTCCATTTTTCCATGCTGTTTGGTGTGTGTTGTGAATCATCCAAGATTGTCTGGAGTTGGGCATCATCGAATTGAACAAACGAATAAAATAAATATAATTGGAAAATTTGCCTGGAAATTTCATCCGTGCATCAGCTGCAGAAAACCGATAGTAAGAAATAGCAAGAAGTTTTTCAGCAGCCATTTTTATAGACTTACAGATTGTTTTATCAGATCCTTTGATGGTTTTCCAGGACTAAGTGAAGACACTAAATGGATCAATTACAAAATAATTTAAAATATTTGACAAGGCCCAACATCAGAACTGGGATTGGCTTCACATGCACCTCTTAATTTAAAACAATGACCACAACAAATAATAATAATTTTTTTTTTAAAAAAAATACATTCTAGGAGCTACAAAAACTCCCCTTCCAAAATGCTCATGTAAGGTAGATCCCTAAAATTAGATCCAGCTTATTTAAAAATAAAAATAATTTCTACAGCCACCCACCTCAACCCACTGACTCCAGGTGGTGAAACAATCCTAAAACAATTCGAACATTTTTTTAAAAAATGTTCATTTAAAAAAAAATAATTAAGACCGTTTGGTGTTTTCAAAACCCAACCACAAAAGTAATACACCTACACGGAATTCATGGCCTTGGATAAATGAAATGTTTTAAAAGGCAGAATAAGGAAATATAGATGACCAGTCCAACAGCAAATTAAGGAATTAAATATATTTTCAGTTGGATACTGGAAACGAATTTGAGACACATCAAGAGGGCCAGGTAAAATATTTACACCTTTGTTCTAAGTGAATCATGGTAAGAATTTTTTTTTTTTAAAAAGGTTGCTTTTTCACTTCTAAATACTGGCGCAAATTTAAATTGGTAAATCCTAGTAGTTTCTAAAAAAAACTGGCTCTGTTCTCAGTTGGGGGGGTGGCATTTCCTTTCTCCCCCTGCCCACATTATCTAAGCCCTTTTAAGATGCCCCAGGTATTTTCTTGTATTGACTGCAATGGACACAGGATCAATTCCCTATCTTGATGGGATTAAGTCTTCCATGGGGGCTGGGGGAGGGGGGGGGGCGGGCAAGGAAGCTGTCACACAGGCAACCAGCACAAGGCACACACACACACACCCCTCCATCCACTCCTAGCTACTTCAGATGGCCAAAGCACACCCAAGGTCTCACTTCCTGCCTCCTCTGATTAAAGGGGGGGGGGGGGGAAACCGCACAAGATTGTTTAGTTAAAATTCTCCTGTAAAGTCAAAGCGACACCTTTCTTCGAAAACAATGAAGAAAGGGGAAAAAAACTACAAAAAAGGACAGTGTAGTGGACTTTGGAAGACCCCCCCTTCGCCCCTCACCCACTCCCCCTTCCTCCCATCCTTTCTTTCTTTCTTTCTTTCTTTCTTTCTTTCTTTCTTTCTTTCTT